GTCCCCCCCCCCCCAGGACAGGGGCCTGGCCTGTGCACTGGCTGTACTCACAGTAGGCATCTGCGCGTGGCTTCCTCCTGGGGGATGCTGACATGGGATGGGGTTCGCCCTTTCTGCACCGAAAGGTGGGGTGAGGGCCAGAGAGCTTCAGAGGGGGTGGCAAGCGCTTGCACCTCCCCACGCCCACAGGAGCGTGTCCCGTGAGCCGCCGGAGCCTGGACTTCATCCTGTCCCAGCCCCGGCTGGGGCAGGCCGTGGTCATCGTGGTGGGGGGTGCCCAGGAGGCCTTGTATTCGGTCCCAGGGGAGCACTGCCTCACGCTCCGGAGACGAAAAGGCTTCGTGCGCCTGGCCCTGAGGCATGGGTGAGTGGGCCTGCAGGGCATGAGAATGCAGAGCATCTACTGGTAGGCACCCTCTGCTTCTAGGTGCTGCTTCTGCAGGGTTTTCGAGGTGGTGGAGGGCCATGGGGCAGTGGAGACTCCCATACTGGAATTTTATCTAACTTCCAGGAATGCTAGCGCCCACCGGGAGCTTCCTGTTCGCTGTGGGACCACCCTCTCAGCCCCTAGACATCTGGGTCTCTGTAGCGGGGACTGTGTGTCCCCAGAGCCGAGCACTGTGCTCCTACACCTGTAGGCTCGCATCAGCCTCGGGGGCCTTACTCTGTGCCCGTCACAGTGCCCGTGTTCCCCAGGCTACCTCCCACTCCAAGGCCGGCCGTGATGCCCGTGGCACGGCCCTTGGGCTCGGAAGCCCCAGGGTCTCTTTGGGACCTGCTCTCAAAGGCAAGAACTCGCACTTGTTTACCTGGGAAGAGGGCTTCCTTGCCACAGGGTTGGAGAGACTGAATGAGAAAGTGATTACAGTAAGGCCCGAATGATGATGTGTGTTCATTTCTTTTTTTTTTTTTGAGTTGGAGTCTCACTGTCGCCCAGACTGGAGTGCAGTGGCCGCTCCCGGCCACCGCAGCCTCGGCCTGCTGGGCTCTGGCGATCCTTCCGCCTCAGCCTTCCGAGTAGCCGGAATGACAGGCATGCGCTACCACGCCCGGCTGATTTTTTGATTTACTGTAGAGATGAGGTCTCGCTGCCCAGGCGGGTGTCGAACCCGCGGGCTCAGGCAGTCCACTCACCTCAGCCTCCCAAAGGCGCGGGATGACAGGCTGAGCCACCGAGCCCGGCATGTGTGATCATTTCTTAAGCAGTGCGACTCCCTCCTTCCTCCTTCTAGATCTTTCTTTGTAGCCACGTGCATTGTGAGGCCCTAGGAAGTGGCATCATGAGGTGGGGGGGGATTCGAAGCCCCCCGGAGCCTGTTGTGGGGCCGGCTGGCAGCCTGAGCCGCCCTTTTCTCTCCCGCCACCCCCTCCCAGGGCCTCCCTGGTGCCTACATACTCCTTTGGGGAGAACGACATCTTCAGGTACAAGGCTTTTGCCGCAGGCTCCTGGCAGCACCGGTGCCAGACCGCCTTCAAGAAGCTCACGGGCTTCTCTCCTTGCATCTTCTGGGGCCGCGGTCTCTTCTCGGCTGCCTCCTGGGGCCTGCTACCCTTCGCCGTGCCCATCACCACCGTGGGTGAGTGCCTACCCTCGGCGGGAAGGCCGCCAGCGGCCGGGTGGGCGGCGGGCCTCTGGCCCACCGGCGTCTCCCTCTCCCTGTAGTGGGCCGCCCCATCCCCGTGCCCCAGTGCCTCCGCCCCACCGAGGAAGAAGTGGACCGCTATCACTCGCTCTACGTGAAGGCTCTGGAGCAGCTGTTCGAGGAGCACAAGGAGAGCTGTGGTGTTCCCGCCTCGACGCACCTCACCTTCCTCTAGGTCCGCCTCAGGCTCCCGTCGTGCCCAGAGCCCAGCGCCCTGAGCCCTCCCTGGCTGCGTGTTCCACCTCGCCAATAAAAGCCAGTTCTGGAAGTGAGCTTGTCCAGGCATGACCCGTCCGCATCCTGATGTGCGACGGAATTGCTGCCTTAGGTGGGGTCTCCTCCCAGCGGGGCTTAACGCTGTGGCTTACTTAGCCTTCCACAAGTCTCTTCACTGGACTCTGTTTGTCAGTAAAAGCCTCTGCTTACCTAAAAGCTGCCGGGCACCGGGATAGAATTAGCAGCGAGGATGTGCGGAGAAACAGGCTTTGAAGACCGAGTAGAACCACCCACTTAGGCGGAGGTGAAGTGAGGACAGCTGGTGGAACACCATGAATGAAAGTTGAGCTCGGGCCAGGGCCCTCGACAGGGTGGAGGGGTGGAACGACCCCCCGTGTGGAAAAGGTACAGTTAAGTACATAACTTGCTTCTGCACCTCTTCCCCGTTCTTTGTGTTTTCTTGGGGCTTAAACAACGATTTATTTGTCCAGTAGTAAGACCTACTGCAGGTGGCTCATGTCTGTAATCCCAACACTTAGGGAGGCCAAGACAGGAAGATTGCTTGAGGTCAGGAGTCTGAGACCAGCCTGGGCAACATAGTGAGACCCTGCTTTCAAAAGGTGGGGGGTGCTGGGCTGGGTGGCTCAGCCTGTCATCTCGCGCTTTGGGAGGCCGAGGTGAGTGAATTGCCTGAGCCCACGGGCTCCTGACCCGCCTGGGCAACTTGGCGAGACGTCGTCTCTATAATAAATCAAAAAATTATCCGGGCGTGGTAGCGCATGCCTGTAGTGCCAGCTACTTGGAAGGCGGAGGCGGAAGGATCGCCGGAGCCCAGCAGGTCGAGGCTGTGGTGGCCGGGAGCGGCCCCTGCACTCAGTCTGGGCGACAGAGAGAGACTCCAACTAAAAAAAAAAGGGGGGGGGTATGTGGATGTGGTGGCGTGTGTCTGTATTTCCAGCTTCTTGGGAGGCTGAGGTAGGAAGATCACTTGAGTCCAGGAGATTGCACCACTGCATTCCAGCTTGGGTGGCAAAGGGAGACCCTGTCTCAAAAACCAAAAAAACTCCTGCAAGCCTAGCATTCAGTTCAGCCTAGCATCAGCATCATGGGGTTGTGAAGATTAAATAAAGATTTAAGGGTTGTTTCTGTTTGGGGTTTTTTTGGTGTGTGCAGGGGGTCTCTCTCTGTTGCCCAGGCTGGAGACCATGATCACGATGGCCATAACTCAAGGCATCCCCAGCCTTCTGAGCTCAGGCAATCCTTCCACCACGCCTGACTAATTTTTTTACTTTTATTTTTTGTGGAGACAAGGTTTTGCTCCGTTGCCCAGGGTGGTCTCAAACTCCTGGGCTCAGGCAATTCATTTTCCTCTGCCTTCCCGAATGCTGGAATTGCCGGCGTGAGCCACCAGGCCTGGCAAGATTTAAGGGTTTAGAACAGAGATTGGCACAAAATAAGGGCCCGTGAGTGTTTGCTATAATCATCACCACGGTCATCCTCTCTGCAGGCATGACATTGGCAAAATGGTCTAGGAGTTTCGGTGTGGTCATAGCATCCTCTGACTTCGGCCAGTCCTGTCTGTTGACTGCCTTTGTGTCCAGGACATCAACAATATTAGAGCACACTCTCCCAGCGGAGCCTCCAGAATGTTAGGTCAGGCCTGCTGGGGTGTGGGGTGTCTGCTCTGTGATCCGATGCCGCATAAGAGATGCAAAGAATTGCACAGAAGTTAGATTGGGAAATATAGTTTATTTAGAAAGAAAATTGGAGAGAGACAGAGGCGATTCCTCTCCCCAAAGTAGGAAAGGGAACCAAAGCTTAAAAAGCATGATGGCAGCCGGGCTCCGTGGCTCAACCTGTAATCCCGTGCTTTGGGAGGCTGAGGTGAGTGGACTGCCTGAGCCCGCGGGTTCGAGACCCGCCTGGGCGGTGAGACCTCATCTCTACAATAAATCAAAAAATCAGCCGGGCATGGTAGCGCATGCCTGTAATTCCGGCTACTCGGAAGGCTGAGGCGGAAGGATTGCCGGAGCCCAGCAGGCGAGGATATGGAGTGAGACTCCAACTCAAAAGAAAAAAAAAAAAAGATCAGTAGGGCAACCCCCTTGGGTCCCCTCCCACTGTGGGAGCTTTTCTGTCTGCTCAATAAATCCTTCTTAAAAAAACAAACCGAGTGGATTGCCTGAGCCCGCGGGTTCGAGACCTGCCTGGGCAACTTGGCGAGACCTCGTCTCTACAATAAATCAAAAATTAGCCGGGCGTGGTAGCACGCGTTTGTAGTTCCAGCTACTTGGAAGGCTGAGGCGGAAGGATCGCCGCAGCCCAGCAGGTCGAGGATGCGGTGGCCGGGAGTGGCCACTGCACTCCAGTCTGGGTGACAGAGTGAGTGTCCAACTCAAAAAACATGGCGGCACCATAGTGTAGCAATGGCAAAATGGCTGCTCGTGGTTGAGTCCTTGGATGAGGGCAGGTCGTTAAAGTGACTGGTTGGTGGTCTCCAGGTCATCACAAAAGGGTAGGTACTGACGTCAGGTGATGGACAGCAGGCCGATGGGTGGGTTAGTCACATGACTGCTGCCATGGTGCGGGGCTAGATGGGAGAAGACAAGGGGAGGGAGTTTTCCTACAAGAGACGTTTGCAATTCACAAACTCCTTGACCACAAGGTGGTCTTATTATCATTCCTATGGCTTTGGCTAGCCAAGAGATGATCTTTGACCTTCCACTTTGACAAGGAACCTGCAAGGTTTCCTAGCGATTATTATGCTAAACCATGAATTGAAAGGTTGGGTTGTCAGGCTGTCTTAGTCTTGCATCAGATGGAGATTCGCTGAGGGGGAGGGGCCGGGCTGCCAGCTGGGCCCGCAGTAGGAAGTCCGAACGCTTTCTAAAACCTGCCTGTTGGAATTTTATCTATCTGTGTCTAGCCTGTGCTAGATTCCAAGCATGTCAGGGGTAAAGTCTAAGCAAAAATGGCCACGCCAAAAGGCAAAAAGACTACGCCAAGCCAAGGTTACTCTAGGCTTCTATAGGTCCCTCCTTTTAAACAAGAACTCGTTGGAGTGTAAACTGTATTTGCTTCTACTGTCCTATAAAATGTCTCCAGCGGAAGAAGTTTCCCTTGTCCTTGGATGAATGACTTATCCGGGTCATTCCCAGGTGATTAGTTCTAGGTCGGCTTTAGGTTGGTGCACAGAAATGTTTAGTCCGCGTAGTAACTGACACTCCAGTCTTTGTCCAAGGGCAGGAATTTCCCCTTCCTGGCAAGGACTGGCTGTGTGCAGGCTGCCGACTTGGCCCAGGAGTGGCAGCTGGGGAGGGTGGAGTAAAAAAAGGTCATGTGGACCCCTCTCCTCTCCCTTTCTTACCAGCCGCTGTTCTGAACCCCTTGGGGACTGGGGGCCAGAAAGTTCTAACGTGACTAGACTGTCCTAAGACAGCTTTGCGTTCCCTGATCTCTTTTCTTTGTGAGCACCTTCGCAGATTCTTCTGAGGTTTTCCTTTACAGTTCTTCTGGAAGCTTCTATGCTTTCTCTGTCTCATCATCTGTCTTTCAGCCCGTGCACTGGACATAGGTTTCCTCTGTGGGAATCCCATTCTTCTTTTTGTTTTTTTTTTGAGTTGGAGTCTCACTCTGTCGCCCAGACTGGAGTGCAGTGGCCGCTCCCGGCCACCGCAGCCTCGACCTGCTGGGCTCCGGCGATCCTTCCGCCTCAGCCTTCCCAGTAGCCGGAATTACAGGCGTGCGCTACCACGCCCGGCTGATTTTTTGATTTATTATAGAGATGAGGTCTCACTGCCCAGGCGGGTCTCGAACCCGCGGGCTCGGGCAATCTGGGTTTTTTCCTCTGAGGGGCAGAGGCACCAATTTCAAGGGAGAACTGGCCACCAAGAGGGGGAGCTGTGGGACTAGATCCCTGCAGACCCTCCTCCCAGGCCCCTGCCCTCCTTTGTCACCCTATGCCCAAAGCCCACCTCTGGGTGTGCACAGCTCCTAGGCACATGCAAACAGTGCCTTCCTGTGAATTCGAAAAAAGCACTTGTGATGGGTTGAATTGTGTCCTCCAAGCGTCCCAAGTAGCTGGGACTACAGCTGTGGTAGAAATAGGAGGGAAGTGAATGGGGCTTTTGTGTGGGTCTGGGAGGGGAGGGCGGAAGGGGCTTCATTCCTCCCTCAGACCTCTGTCTGTCTGAAATCCAAGACCGGTGAGTCTTGGGTGTGGGGGGTGGGAGGGACAGGTCTGGGGTGGGAGAGGAATACGAGAAGACAGTCAGCCCAGGCGAGAGCAAGGAGCTGGAGTCGGCCGCTAAGGAAACGGGTTTGGTCCTGGAGGCAGAGACACAGTCAACATCGGGAAACTGATCCTGGGACCTGGGAAGCCAGTTGAGTAAGTTGATCAGAAGAGGACCGGGTCTGATCAGAGTTGGCGGTAGAGGAGGACCAGGAGGGGAATTCTTCTTCCCTGTGGAGAGATCTCTGGGATAGGGAAGAGGCCACAGCAGGAAGCAGAAAGCAGGTCAAGGTGGGCTCTGTCCCGGGGTGGACTGGGTGTCCGTGTGCGGGCGGAGGGGGGTGCAGCCAGTAGACCGGCCACCGCTGAGAGTGTGGAAAGCCTGTCTGGGGCAGAGGGGACCACACCCTGGACAGTCACAGGTGTGGCCCCCCGCGATGGTCCCCCCCAGGATCCACTCTCGCAGAGGAGCACCGCTTCCCTGCTCTTCACGCCAGCTTGGCATCCTTCTTGCCCTTGGACGGGGTTGCCGGTGGCCTCTCCCCCACACCGTCAACCTTCTTCTGAGCAGGGGTCCTCTCTGGGAAGCCCGCCCAGATCGGGAGGAGGCTGGAGGTGTCGGGGGACCCGTGCCTCTCACACCTCCCTGAGTCTCCCCGGGCCCCCTCTGCACCCGCGCTCTGATCCCAGGCTAGCTGAGGGTGAGGGTCCTCGGTGCCCATTCCCCT